AATTCAAATCGAAGGCTGGCTGTTCTCAGGTAAGCTGCAGATCTCCAGCAAGACTTCAATGAGTAGCTTATCTGTGGGTATGCTGTCACTGAAAAATGAGCAGCTAAGTCAGTATAGCACTTATATTATTGCTCCTTTGCCCTGTCAGGGTCTTGAATTATCAGCCACAACTTTGATATGGCAGCTCTCCCTATGGAACTTATGTTTTATTATACTGGTTTTGTTTTTTTTCTCCCAGGTGATTCACCGCTGGGTGCCTTGCAGCAGAGATCCAAGTAGTCGGTCCCATATAGATAAAACCATCCTGCTGGTTCAAATTGAAGATAAATATGTTGCTGTTGTTGAAACTGGAGTCCTTGAACTTGGGGCTGAAGTGTAAATCTCTTTGTGACTGAAACTTACCCTTCTCCAACAGTTCAGAAGAGAGAAGGGTCCAGAAAAAGCAGCTCCCAGGACATGAAACTTCGGTCTGGTTGTAGGAAAGGACTTGAAACACAGATTTGTCTAAGTCACTTTCCCCAAATAAACAAGTGTAAGAAATTTTTTTTAAGTTGTTAGCTGCTGAAGAAACATTTGCATGAAGGATAGATTTGTTGAGACATATCTTTTTGTTTATAAATTTTGTTTATGCATTGCGTAATGCTTTAAATCAACAAACTTTTCAGTTTTAAGATCAGAGCACCTCATATTTTTCTAATTGTTTTGCCAAAAAATGCCATGTCTTGTCACAGAGTGCGTGGAATTCATCCACCTTATTTTAAAGAAATTGACTACAAACCTTCAGTTTGGTGAAACAGTGTAAGGGTTCCAGGTGTGGCAAGAAGAGACTGAACAGATGTATAGATTCTTATTCCTTATGAGCTAAACATTAATGAGAACTGCACTAATTTTTTTACAGCAATGCACTAAAAACAACCCTGAGATTGCTGAGAACATTTATTTATATATATAAATATAAGTATATAAAATACCATTATTTAAATTGCCTTTGGGATTAATCCCCTCCCTCTCCATATACATGTTGATGGTAAGGGCTGTGCCATGGGTTTGGTTCTATGTTCTGTATTTCGTACAAGTGCATTTGCTGCATCCTCTTCACAATAAATGGTAAAATAACAAATATATAGAAAAGCACCTGAGTATCCCTGTACTACATCAGACTCTATTGTGGTGGCAGTGGTACCTCAAATCTGTACAACATGTCTAGCTTTAAAGTGGACCCCAATATACTACCTTTCATCTGTCCTCCATTTGCTAGCCATGGCTACTTTGCTTCTTTACACTCAGAGCTGGCTATGTTGTTTCATTGGCTCTTCTCTGGCAGAGACAGTTGTTCAAGTTTTGTAGGGGGAGGTGCAGGTCCATGATTACTTCATGGATGCTTGAAGGTTTTTTTGATTCCATCCAATTTAAAAAGAAAAAACCAACAACAAAACCCAAAAAACCAAAACGAAACAAACAACAAAAACTTGACTTCAGCTTTTAAAGAGCTTTTATAGAAGGCACAGCCCTAAACTTGTATCACTTCTGCCACCTTGCCTTTTCTTTCCCTTTAGTCTTCATTCTTTTCTATGACTTGAATTTTATTTTCTGTGATTATATATTCTATGTAAGTGTAATTTGAGTATTTATAACTGTGAAGTTGAATTATTCATGTGTTACATATCCTAGGTTTTATTGTATTTTTTTAAAAGTGTGTATTCAGGGAAACAAGTAACTCAGAACTATCATGGGAGTGTGAGAGGGAAACTGGTTTGCTCTTGACTTGCAGTTCCTATGACTCACTTCTCTTAATCCGTAAGAAAAAGATGTACCTATTGTGATTGTTTCCTGTTTCTGACCTGTAACTACGTAGGACTCTGTGGGGAAACTGCACACAGTCCTAGCTTTTGGGAGCAGCCATCTTCTTCCCAGTCACCTCCACTTCTTTATATGTAACATAACCAGAAGAGACTTCTGATATACCACAGAGGTTATTGTAATTATTTCTCTGACATCAGAGAAACCTTGTCCATTATGTACCTAATGTAAGAGTGAAGTTATATGGGTTGAGAAAAAAACAAAGGAAGAAACAGCTACCTAAGAGATATTGGTATTCCGACTCAAGTCACTGTATGCCATCTAGACATGGAAGGGTAAGTTTGTGTGCCTGGTAGCTAGTCAGTTCTAGATGTTGTTCCCAGTGAATTATACTGGGACCTTGCTTACATCATACACTATGCAAACTTGTACTCGAAGTACTGTGCATCTTACAGTTGAATATTGCTATTTGGTTTATGCATATGCAGTCCCATTTAATCTTGGTATAAATGCACAGTTCTGGATCTGCTACCGTTGAAATAATTTTGCTGTTCCACGTAGTTTATCTTCGGTCCGGTTGTAGGAAAGGACTTGAAACACAGATTTGTCTAAGTCACTTTCCCCAAATAAACAAGTGTAAGAAATTTTTTTTAAGTTGTTAGCTGCTGAAGAAACATTTGCATGAAGGATAGATTTGTTGAGACATATCTTTTTGTTTATAAATTTTGTTTATGCATTGCGTAATGCTTTAAATCAACAAACTTTTCAGTTTTAAGATCAGAGCACCTCATATTTTTCTAATTGTTTTGCCAAAAAATGCCATGTCTTGTCACAGAGTGCGTGGAATTCATCCACCTTATTTTAAAGAAATTGACTACAAACCTTCAGTTTGGTGAAACAGTGTAAGGGTTCCAGGTGTGGCAAGAAGAGACTGAACAGATGTATAGATTCTTATTCCTTATGAGCTAAACATTAATGAGAACTGCACTAATTTTTTTACAGCAATGCACTAAAAACAACCCTGAGATTGCTGAGAACATTTATTTATATATATAAATATAAGTATATAAAATACCATTACACAGGTGTCTTCTTCACAAAAACAAAGTTTTTTAAATTGCCTTTGGGATTAATCCCCTCCCTCTCCATATACATGTTGATGGTAAGGGCTGTGCCATGGGTTTGGTTCTATGTTCTGTATTTCGTACAAGTGCATTTGCTGCATCCTCTTCACAATAAATGGTAAAATAACAAATATATAGAAAAGCACCTGAGTATCCCTGTACTACATCAGACTCTATTGTGGTGGCAGTGGTACCTCAAATCTGTACAACATGTCTAGCTTTAAAGTGGACCCCAATATACTACCTTTCATCTGTCCTCCATTTGCTAGCCATGGCTACTTTGCTTCTTTACACTCAGAGCTGGCTATGTTGTTTCATTGGCTCTTCTCTGGCAGAGACAGTTGTTCAAGTTTTGTAGGGGGAGGTGCAGGTCCATGATTACTTCATGGATGCTTGAAGGTTTTTTTGATTCCATCCAATTTAAAAAGAAAAAACCAACAACAAAACCCAAAAAACCAAAACGAAACAAACAACAAAAACTTGACTTCAGCTTTTAAAGAGCTTTTATAGAAGGCACAGCCCTAAACTTGTATCACTTCTGCCACCTTGCCTTTTCTTTCCCTTTAGTCTTCATTCTTTTCTATGACTTGAATTTTATTTTCTGTGATTATATATTCTATGTAAGTGTAATTTGAGTATTTATAACTGTGAAGTTGAATTATTCATGTGTTACATATCCTAGGTTTTATTGTATTTTTTTAAAAGTGTGTATTCAGGGAAACAAGTAACTCAGAACTATCATGGGAGTGTGAGAGGGAAACTGGTTTGCTCTTGACTTGCAGTTCCTATGACTCACTTCTCTTAATCCGTAAGAAAAAGATGTACCTATTGTGATTGTTTCCTGTTTCTGACCTGTAACTACGTAGGACTCTGTGGGGAAACTGCACACAGTCCTAGCTTTTGGGAGCAGCCATCTTCTTCCCAGTCACCTCCACTTCTTTATATGTAACATAACCAGAAGAGACTTCTGATATACCACAGAGGTTATTGTAATTATTTCTCTGACATCAGAGAAACCTTGTCCATTATGTACCTAATGTAAGAGTGAAGTTATATGGGTTGAGAAAAAAACAAAGGAAGAAACAGCTACCTAAGAGATATTGGTATTCCGACTCAAGTCACTGTATGCCATCTAGACATGGAAGGGTAAGTTTGTGTGCCTGGTAGCTAGTCAGTTCTAGATGTTGTTCCCAGTGAATTATACTGGGACCTTGCTTACATCATACACTATGCAAACTTGTACTCGAAGTACTGTGCATCTTACAGTTGAATATTGCTATTTGGTTTATGCATATGCAGTCCCATTTAATCTTGGTATAAATGCACAGTTCTGGATCTGCTACCGTTGAAATAATTTTGCTGTTCCACGTAGTTTATCACATGTGCACATTATAGTGTAGTTGAATTCATCTCCTGCATATCTGAAAATGTAGTACAGTAGATGAACCTTCTTCAGCAGTCTGGTGATGTTGCTGTCAGGAGTGAAGAAAACACGTAAGTTTTGAGTTGAAGGTGTTTTTGTTAAGGTTTTATTCTGTGTCCTTCCCTTCAGGTAATTGCAGGGTTTCCTGTATCACTAGGAATATTGCTTCATTTTAGAAAGAGGAATTTGTTTGAAAATAGGCCCCCATTTGACACTAGTTGCATGAGGCTTTTTTCCTGTACTGAAGCCTTGAGGTAAACAAATGACTGACAAACAAAAGACATAGGGTTTTTTTGGGTTTGTTTTGTTTTTAAAACATGACTGAAGCAACTTTCAGTATGTTAACCCTGGCTCTGAACAATCTCTTTCACCCTCTTCAGGGCAAGATAATGGCAATGTCCATGGCTGGTAATAGACATGATAGGAATTAATGGCTTGTTAACACAAAAATTCTAGAGAATATGTAACTGCCTGGAATTCAATCAGCAGATGGGGGGAAAAAGAAAGGCTTTTTTTAAGGGGCAAAGAGACTTGATGGATCTTTCTATTTATTTTTTTAATCTTAAAGGTTTTGGTGTGTTGCCTTCAGGAGATGGATTTTAATGTGGCCAGTTAACAGGTTAATACCTTCTTTCAGATATTCAGCAAACACCTGTTGTGAAGCCATTCACATAGTGCTTGTACCTATTCCAGATCTGCTCAACAGAAGCCACCTAGTTGAAATTTCACTCTTCCCTAAGGCTTTGGAAAATTAACTTTTTTTAAAGTTTTCCTGCATTCAGAACTTTTAAGATTAATGTATGATTTTGTGTTGGTTTGTGCAAAGTTTGTCTTAGTTCCCACTGTGCAAGTGACAAAACCGTGTTTGTTTTCTTCTAACTCCCCACAGGGCAGATCTGTCTATGGAAACCTCTGTTCCATATGGAGATAATTTCATCTTTTGTTTTCTTTTCTTTGGCCTTTGTCTTGATGTGTAATACTTTTCTCCTGTTGTGAGTATGGAAAAGATGGGTATTTTCAAATTAGTCCTGTCAGTCCAGATTGAGCTCAGCACAGAGCAGATTTTTTTTTATCTTCGAAGCTTTCATGAAAACCCATTATAGATAAGTGCTTTAACTCTTTCCGCTTGCATTGTGTGATATTCTCTTGCCATAAGAACATTCCAGTTGAGTCCTGTTGGTTTAGCTTCCAGGTAGATCCCAATCTATTTTGTTTCTCTCAGATTTCTTTGAAGGTGACATCTCTGTGTACATACGTAAGGACTTACTGCTCCCTAAAACAAATAATTACAGAGAAGTGCTTGAAAACCCCACTAATCAGATTATACCCACTGGTAAAAAGGGCTGCTACTTAATTTTTTAAAACCTCTTCCTATTTCACCTCCCTGTGAAATCTTTTAAAATATTTTGATGAAAACAAACAAAACCCTAAAATGTGTATGTGACACCACTGATGACACCTAGACTTCTGTGCCACTTGCACTGTGTGATACTTGTGATGAATTCTGGGGATCTTTCTCGTGATTCAGCATCTATGAAATTATTTCAGAGTTGGGGGAGAGCAAGGGGGAAGATGATGATGATGATTTTTTTTTTTTTTTAAGGCAATTCCATGTAGGTTGAA